GTCCACCTATGGAAGCAATTTAGCAGAATCATAAAATCCATCAAAAAGATTAGCCTCTTCATTTTGATAAAATGACATGTGAATTAATACTGTTTTTCCACAGGAATTTTCTTGCTTTATCTCCAAAGTGCTGAGCAAACCAAGAAATATATTCATTTTAAGTATCCTTCTAGAGCCAAAAGGACCTCTTGATCCCTTCTGATGAGAAAGCAGGTGACTAAGTTCCCTCGTAAGAGCAGACAAGACAATGGGACTGAAGCTCTGGAAGGGTTTGCTGTTAACTGCAGCACTCTTCTCCCAAAGGTAAGGAGGGATACATAACAGAAAAGTATAAGTTAAAGTCAAGGCATGTCATTTCTGCATTTTTTGAGAGAAAACCTCAAATTACATCTTCTATAAATTCCTTTAATAATCTTTTCCTTGAAATACATATTTTCATACTTGGACTGAGCTCAAGCTTTGCAGTTCAAGAAGACTTGCAACATAAAGCACAACAGCACTTAGTACAGGGTGCTGAATTCCATGGCAGTTTAACGAAACACACTCCCAAGATAGGCATAGCAGTTCCCAAAATATTTCCTTAGACTTCCGCTAAGAAATGGTCTCTTGCTAAAGCTCCCTACTATACACACACCTTTCTGCAGAGTCTGACACAGCCAATCACATATGCTGGACCTTCAGAAGCCCTTTACACGTGTTTACAGGTGACAGTAACCACTGTAAAGCTCATTCCACTCCCCCAACTGCAAGTCAGGGAAAAACATTGATTTTAGTGCCTCCTTTCTCAGCAGGCAACTGCACTTTCAAATGCTAGTCTCTCTTAATTTACCTTCTGAATGGCTACCAAAGACAGCAGGCTCCTTGCAGAAGACATTCCCAATTCAAAGTGCTCTCTCTTAACTTGTTCCACCCCACAGACCCTCTTCTGTCAGTTCCAAAGCAGCCTTACTTGAGCCAGAGAGAGAAGCACCGCCAGACCTCTGAGGTTAGATGACAGAAAGCAGAAGCCACCACTGCTGCTAGAGGGGACATACCAGAGATGTACATGTGTTGTAGAGCAGGGAATGTATCCATCTCTGTAAGCTCCTCAGCAGACTGGGAAACAAATACTGCAGTCACCTTAATGTTCAGCAGCACTACTGCTAGGATTTAGTGTTTTCATCTATATAACAGCAATATCAGTTCAAATTGCTTTCACTGTTTATGATGTACGATTAGTACACAATCTAGCTTTAAAGCAGGAATTGTACCTTTAAAACTCATTTTGCTAATTTAGAGAAGTATTACTGAAAGGAAATTACACAGTATTAAACTCTACCCCCAAAGTCATAATTGAATTTTGAAAAGCAATTAATTCAAAGACTCCTGTGAAAAAAGAAGGGTTTATATTTTGCATTGGCATTAGTTATCAGGACCACACTGTATAGTCTCATTTGGTTTTTAGTATACAGAGATTTTTAACATTGCTCCTATACAGCCACTAGTTAGTTCTCAAAGACAAGAGAACGCAATGTACTTTTTTCTTTTTTGTCATTAGAGAATAACATCCTTGGTTTTCATGAGCTTTCTTCTAGAGAGCTGTATTAGAAATGATTAGTACATCAATATGCATGGCAGAACAAGCTGGAATTTTGCTTATGAAATTCAGTTGTGTCTCTCAAAAAATGGAACTTTGGGGAATATAAATGGATACTCAACTGCACACGGACTGTGTGCAAAAATGTTTAAAATATGCAAGTTATTTTTTTAATCTTCCACACAGAGTAAGAATTGCATTACTACTCACTTTGGAGTACAGTGCTTTTGTAACATATTACCATTTCACAAAATTACATTCTACTAGAAACCAGAATAAGTGAGGAAGCAGTGATTTTAATTTTTTTTTTTCTTTCATTATTTTAGGAAACAGTCATTCACACTAGGTCATACATAAAGTTTCATTTAGGGACAAACTCTGTGCACAGCTGAATGCAGGAGAGGAACTCTGTCCTAAATGTAGAGCAGAAACACAGCACACCCCATCCATAAGGGACAGAGACACCTCACACAAGAAACAATGCTGCAAATTTATTTTCTTTACTTTTTATAACCTCAACTTTGTTTATCCCACATAAGACATTTTCAGTAATAAGAGATCCTCTAGTTCATGTACTATACAATTGCAAGTAAAATGAGGGGCATGTGAAGTACAAACAATTGAAAATACTAGCTTACATTGAGTAGACTTAAAATACTGCCCAAAAAAAAGTGGCTTTTCAGCTTTTTACCTTGGAGTTTTGGAAATCTTCTTTGCAGTTCAAAGACAGGCAATGAATGGAGAGAAAAAAAAGCAACTCCAAATCAGATGGAATGAAGAAACAGGCACATTAGTAGGAGAAACAAAGGAAATGCATATGAAACAAGAGAAGAGACACTCTTCTAATCACAAAGTCCAAAGGAAAATTTTGCGGGTGTTTCAGACTCGCGCGCTGCTGTCCGTCCATCCCAGCTGGAGACATGAATCACACTCCGTGCTATTTAGCAGTCTACATTTATACTTGCAATATAGAGAGCACATGTCTTGTACAGTAAATAATTCCTTGCCCCAAAGAGCTTACAATCTAAGTTCATAAAAAAGAATGTGTCAAGTAGTTGGATCAAGATCAAACAAATGGAGAAAAGCAGGAAGTAATTTTATAAGGGATTAAAGCTGGGTTACGTTACTAAGTGAGGTAACTTCTGAACATCATTGCAGTGATGTTCTTAAGACATAAGTAATTTTTCAGTTAGAAGCTCTTCTGATCATGAAAAACTCATTTAAAATGTACAGAATGATGCATTAAAAGTAATCCACAAAAATTCTTAAAAATAGACTTGTTGGTAAGACAAAAGTGTTCAGATTGCCTAAGTTCTTCGCTTAAGACAGTAACTTGTCACTCTGTTAAAAAGATATGGATGTTACAGAAAGTCATATGTACATGTCACATTTGGATGTAAAAGGCTTTTTACATTTAAGCTTAAAATGTTAAATTCCGATTTAAGAATCCTGCTGCTATAAACATAGGCTTAATACTTAAATATTAATATGAAAATAGTACTATTTAAAAAAATGTATTTTTAACTTTAAAATAAACTATGGACAAGATACAGTCGGTTTGAAATCAACATTCCTTAACTACAGTAAGTGATCCATTTTTCCCACTTTTTAAAACACCGTTATTGCTATTTGGCAGTTAGAAGGGATTAGTCCAACTTTAAAGTTTCTTTTTTTTCTTTTTTTTCTTTTTATTGGGGGGGGAACTTTTTTTGCATTTCCCTAGTTATATCTATTTTTTTTTGAAGTTAAAGTCTTGTACATCTACTAATTGACAACATAGTTGAAATGTAATTTACATGTAACCTTTGTGCCCATTTAGCTCTCATTTCTTAATACCTTTACGTGAAAATAGAAAGTACATCTTCAAGGCAGCTATGAAACTCGTGTCTTTCATACCAGGAAATCTTGCTTTGCATTATATACATAAACCATTTGCAACACTTCCACGACACTTGAAAATATGTTTGAATCGTTATAGTGACACAAATTAACCATAATTATCCAGTCTGTATATAATAACCAAAAAGAGTGTTCACTGTAACCACATATCCAGTAGAAAAATCTGACTTGAGCTCTCCTTTTGGAAAGGTATCAGATGTAAAATGAATTTCATTTAAGCACAGAAGAAAGACAGTGAGGATAAGGACTGCTAACAGGCGATCCACTTAGTTTTAATTTTGAAAGATACTCTCAAGAAAATCAAACTAGAAATGAAGGCTGGAGAACCATACATTTCCTTGATGCAAGTCAGTACTAGCATTGACTTTTCAGAAGTTACAACTGCATTAAATTTGCTTGTAGGAGGATACGAAAGGAATATAGCCACAGATTACCAAGAGAATTTGGTAACTTCTGACCAATAGCTAAAAAATGAGGGAAGAAAATGGTCAAGGGATTACGATCAACTGTTTCTCATACATGCCACAAAAATCACAAAAAAAAATCCCTGCAGGCCTGTAACAACACCCACCTCCCAATTTGAATTAGTTTCAATTCCCAGGTAAAGATGAATCAACAAAATTAAAATATTGTGCTGTTTTATTGGTGTAAAAATCACACAATTGCTAGTTCTGATTCTGCAGAGATACATCCATGCAGTTAAACATCTATGATCCCACAGCCAGAAGAAGCCATTAAATAGAATATCTGCTGTTAGTCAGCAATTAATGCAAATTTACATATGAGATCAAAAGGTGTGTATCGTACAATATACAACAAATCCTAATACAGTACATCAACCTGAAGAGCAGGATACACTCGGGGAACTCTGTTAATAGTGAAGCCTGTCTATATGCCAGAGAAATAAGGCCTGGAAACAAGATGACAGAAGGTACCCCAGGATTCCTAAGAAGCAAACCGTTCAATTTTTTTTGTTTTTATTTCCTTTTTGCTGGGAATTAGAAGTTCATAGAGGTATTGACACATGACTTGACAATACAATTTGTTATAGTGAAGACTGGTGGATGTGATCTGTTATTAAAAGGTAATGTGTGAATCATGCAATTACAGGTGGTGCTCAGGTCGTGTGCAGTTAACACGTTGGGGATTTATACCCAACTCCTTCCACAAACTGGTGGACTAAAAAAGGTCTGTTTGCCAGACTACCAATTGTACCATAACTCTCTACATGCATGCGGCTGAATCAGGGCCATGAGTGGAGAAGATGTGAACACCTGGCAGTCTGTGGTTACATACTCTGCAACATAGGCAACAAAACCAGAAAAAAAAAATCCAGCCGTTAGGGCAGGCGGCCTGCGAGAGCTCTGCCAGCCTGAAGGAGGTGGTTTATTGCACAGAGGCAGGCTTCCCAGAACTGGCCACGACTCTCCAGCTGTGAAAGGCAGCTCAGGAAGTGACATTGGCTGAGGGGAGGTTACCGGGTTCTCTCTTTTCTGGCGCCATCAAATAAATGCCATCGCAAAAGAAGAGTTTATGTGCCTAAAGTTTAAAGTCAACTGATTAGCAATCCTCTTCTGCAAAGATGTTTCACAAGAAAAAGGGAACCACTAAAAAATTCCAGTTGGAAATTTTGGCCACAAACTCTGCAAATTCAAGTCCAACAAAGGTCATGGACACCCACAGAAAATGGTGTGAGAGGCAGTGTCACATTCGAGGAAAAAGTTTCTTTTTTTTTTTCTCTGTACTGAAATTAAAATACTTAAATACAAAAGTGGACAAATTGACAAAACAGAACCACAACATTTCATGTAGAATAGAGTGCATTGAGCTAGATGCATGGATCTTTAAATAGGCTTTGAAACCAATACCCCTTTCAAAATTAGTAAATTCACAGTTAACGGCAGTAGGCTTAGAGGTGAGAGAAGGGTCGAAGTTGTTCCAGTTGGACTTCCAGTGAGATTCTCTCTTCAAGAACATCCTACAAAAGAAACATTTTCTACTGACAATCCACAGAGAATTAATATTAAATTTCCTCATGAATTGAGGTAAATGTCGGCTTCAGTTCTGAGAACTAATGTCCCTTCTGAAATCTGGAGAACTCTTCCCATAATCTACATAGAAGATTGGCTAATTTCATAAATGAAAAACAGCGTTGCTCAATAAGGAAGCCATTTAGTATTTTTTCATTTCTCTCAAGTCACCCCAAATGACAAAGTTGTAACCAGCTGCAAATCCAACCATAATATTTTCAAATAAAGTATAAAATGTTAGGGGGTAAAGTTCCCACCTCGGTTAAAGGACTGGAAACTCACAATTCCCCCATCCCCACCCCCAGTTTTTCCTCTTACATGAATTTACACACCTTAACTCTCACACAGTAACAAGTGAAATTCAGGCTTGATAGTTTTTTAAATGGCCTATCTTCCAATCTAGACAGTATCAAATTAATTCATGTTTACAAATAAGATTTTTTGCTATTAACTTGATAAATAAAATGACATCTCTTACATTAAGAAAGATGGCAAGAGAAAGACACTATGATGGTGCCTACAGATAAATCCAAAATTATAACAGCTGACCTAGATAAAGAGATGATTACTGTTGTTCTTACTAAGCTGCAAATTTCATATTCCAGATTACTGTATTTGTTTAAAAGTATTTTTAATTTTATTAAGACTAAGGTTTGCTTTTTCCTTCAGGAGGCAGCAAGCCACTTCAGCTGCTCTTCTCAATACTGCTTGTAAAGTACCTGATGACCACAATAGCTACTTCAAATTACCAATACTAAGTTAAGATTTCTACTTTCAGTGTAGCCGACAGCAAATCAATACATTGAAAAATATGTTTTGTAGTAGTAAAAGCGTCCTTTGTAATTTCACAGACCATGTCACAACTAGGTGTATTCTACGATCTGCAAAAAATAACTAAATATTTTTTATTAATATCCTCTACTACGTACATGACTGGTTTCAGAGATGCCTGCTACTGCGCATCACTAACATCCTGCCTTTCGGGCTCTCCTCTTAAACAAAGAAAATGGAATTACCTTTAGTTGCTGCTGCAGTTCACTATTCAATCTGGCCAAAACAGTGTTGGTTTCCTTGTTACGTCTGATTGATGCCTGAATTGCCTTCTTGTCTTTCCCCACTGATCTGAGAATAAATCAGAAGTATTGTAACAAGTAATTTTGTTGCTTAGCTGAACATCTCATTCATAGTCCCTCTTTTTCAAATGTGCAGAACCCTTTTTTCAATTTGTTTAAACTTGTTACACTGTTAATTTACCCTCTTCTGTGTCGCTCTATTAACTTTGTTGCTTGCATGGAAGCTACACATACTTGGTTTCATTGAAACAGCAAGCAGCAGATTTTAAAAACTTGTCATAATCAATTTTCTGAAGTCCCAAAGCACAGTACCACAGTCACTAACCTCAAAGTGACTAATGTAGTAGTCTGCTTTCATCCTAGGATACAAAGACTGCACATTTTAGACCGTTCACAGCAACTGTTTTTTAAAACTAAGCACTAAATCTTAACACTTCCACCCACTACTTTCCCATATACTTGCAGAAGTTAAGACTTCACACTCCAAAATTCAAGATCTCTAAAAGGTCTCCCATTAGTAGATGCCTCAGGATGATCTTGTTTAAAAAAACAAAACCCTTTACACTGCTAAATTATTCTTATTCAACCACAGTGAAATTGGTTGCAACTCCTGGAACAGAAACTGTGTATGCTGTTTAAATGTAAACTTTCCAGTAACAGATGTATTTATACACTTCTTGGGTTACCTAGGAATAGATGGCTGTGAAGCAAGAACAGCAGCTATGACACCTGTTTTCTGTGTATGTTCCTCAGCTTCAGGTCTTAGCTCATCTTCTGATTTTAATCTTCTACGAATAGGCTTTGGTGGTGGAGCAAGTGGGGTAGTGCCTTTACCCTGACAAGGAAAACACAGCCTGTTAATTCTCACAAAGTGCATTTTACTTGGATTATAACCTGATAACTAGTTTGTGTTACATATTCTTGAAACCAATGCCTGAGCTAACCCATCAGATAATTTACCCATCAGGTATTCTCTGATGGACATCTAGCTGCATGCTCATACAGTCTGGAAAAACCCCCGAAGTACTCAATTCTAGCCCCTGGTGAAAGGGGGTTGCTACACACTGACAAAGAACTGTATAAGCAGGAACACCATGGTGCAACTGATAATGGCAAATAGAGAGCATCTCAGGGCACGCTCCCCCTGCCCCACCCCAGTAATTATGTGTCTAACAAAAAAAAGCTAAAGTTAACCAAGTTCTGCACTACAAGCCTTGCTCCGTTTCAGAAATCTGAACACTGATGAGTATCTTAACTTTCTGCTACCTCAGTAGTAAACCTGCCTATTTCAAGCACGTACTGGATCTAAGAAACCTTTGTTCAAGTGGAAGCATATAAAGTTGCTGCTGCAAATCAAAACAGATGTATAGTTTAATATACATCAGGCAACTGTGCTTTCCTTCCAAGTGTACTTTGCATACCGCACTAGTGGGGACATTAGCAGGTGCTTTCTCTTCAGCTCTTCCATCTGCTTTGGCAACTCGAAGAGAACTTGCAGAATCAGGGGGCTTTTCAACCTAAAGGGATATAAACTATATTTAGAAAACTTCTTCACAAATACTTCATTTGGCAACAGCTGGAATAAACACATGTAATGCTGTGGTTCTGATATGAGAATACAGTTAACACCTACAATTCCAGTTCAAGTCTTCTTTGGAAACACAAGCTGGAATACAACAATACCTGTTTTGGAGCAAAATCATGTAAAACTATCATGGTCACAAACTGTTTTGGCCTGGGAGCAGCTAACAGAAGAGGCACGTAAGTAAAAAGCTGTACTTCCAGAATGAATAGTCAGACCTGTGTTGTGATATAGAAATGAAAAGTCAATAGAGAACCTAAAATCACTATTAAAAAAGACAAAATAGATACTTGAAAGTACTCTGCTCTCAGGCACTGCACTTCAGATGCTGGAAGACCTCAGAATAAAGTTAAATCCCCAGTGTTATGAGGCACTGTACAGCACAAGAGGCTGCGGCCTTATGATAAACTGCCACAGTTGTTTCTGCCATTACATTACACCATTACCTGTTTGTCACCACCAAAGATTAATCCCTCCAGTGGAATACAATGGGACTGTTCTCCATCCATCTCAATGGAAAACAACCAGTCCAGCTTCTACTGAAGCAGTTTTCAGTGGCAGCTTAAGCTAAGATTGCTGATTTTGCAATGGAGAGCACTCAGATGGTTCTGTGTCATTGACCTTCCTGATTAAGAAAAGCAAGAACATGCTGCAGATAGCTGGGAGAACTTTTGCAACTGAGGATGCAGAAGTACCTCAGAGAACCTGCAATATGGATGAAGGCTACAAATTATGAAAGTAATTCATGTAATACTGGTAAGCTCCTATGACATTAACAGGAATAAATCCTGAGGCTTTCCAGCTTTTAAGTCCTCTGTCTGTAGTAGGAAACAAGGTGTTGTAAACACATCTGGTATAATGGGATGCCAGAGCTCTCGGTGTTTTACCTGTTTGTCCAAGGGCTTTGAAAAAAAAAAAAATAATTAATGGAATTTTAGCAGATGTTTACAATACTTGACAGTCATCTCATTTACTGAGACAGACTACTTTATAACTTACCAGTAAGTCATTTGGAAGGCTGGCAAGAGTGAGGAAGGAGAAGTTTGGCCTGTGCTAAATCTTAAATGCACCAACACAACTATGTTTGTGTGCATATATGCCGATAAGAACAAAATTTTTTTAATTACAATCAGGAACAAAAGAAGAAAAGAACTGAGAAAAGAACAATCAAGCACTGAGAAGAATAATTTCTTCTGCTTAGGCATCTGTCACTTACTAAATAAACATAGCAGGATGTAATATAATTGATTGCTAGTAACAGATTGGGACAGCAGAAAAACCCCACTGAGCTCCAACAGAAGATGCAGGTTTTACCAAAGTCCTGTAACTGTTGGTGGCATTAAGCAGTTGACAATATCTTCACTTCTGCTCACCTGCAAGGCTTCTGAGTGTGTTTCAATTTCATCTTCTTCCTCTTTGTTTACACCTGAAACAGCAAATGCCTCAAACTGGCTGAAGTCTGCAAAATTTGGCTGTTCTGGTATTTGTTGAGGTGAGGTACTGGTATGAGCTATTAGGCCTTCAGCATCTACTGGGCGATGCACATGAGGACCTGCGCCCTGCAGTAAAATAACAAAAATATTTAGTGAAGTTGTTCTTAACGTAGTTATCTGATGCAAAGAATCTCATCAAACAGCTTGTGACAGAACATTAAAGATCATTTTTCTTTTTAGTGGGCAAAAATTTATGTGTTGTCAGTAGGACAAAGCACATCACATCCAAGACATAGATCAGTCTCTGCATCTATAATAACTGAGAAATATTTAAGAAAATATGAAGTTCAATCAGAGGGTGCTATTATCCAGAGAACAAGACCAAAGATAGATGCATGTACGACTAGCTAGACTCATCAGACAGTAGATGTTTCTGCTGTAACTCAGTCCAGCTTAGCTCTGTCAAGCTTGATACAGATTTTTAGTCTAGTTCCATAGGGAAACATGCTTATGTGATCCCACTGGATGGAATATGCCTGTCATTGTACCCTCTTTCCTTGCAGATAGGGTCCAAATCCATGGACCAACTTCAATGCTGTTAACTTGGAGTCTAACAAGTAGCTGCTGCAGAAGAGCAACTGAAAAAATCAACTTTTTTTCTGCCCCATGTGAGATCTGCACAGCAGCTGAAGGACTCCACTGGTTAAGACAAAAAATCCAAACAACAACTTTTGTAGAATTTTTCTACCAGATCAGCTAATTGGAACTGACTCAGATCAGGACTGCAAAGATCACTGTGTCTATGACAAAGGAAGAAGTGGATCACTCCTTTTGGAATCTGGGGTGTTACGTAAAACTGTACACTGTGGATGGAAGAAAACACTTCTTTGCCAGACTTTGAAAGGTTGCTCTCAGAGTCTGTGCTATGGCCTATTAGCTATACAGGAACAGGTAAAGAAATGTGAAAGTGTAACTTTTCCTCCTACAACTCAGAGCTCTGGAGCCACCCATTCATCCTCAACCTCTACTTTAATCCCTTCCCATGGATCCAGCAGAAGCAATTCTTTATTCAGGGAAGGCTAACATTTGGCTACAGTCTAGGTTTTGCCATCAGTCCCATCCTAGCAGTTTCAAAAAAATATCAAGCAATGCTACTAATTTTAGAGAGAAGATAAAATTCAGAGTTAGATGGAGATTATGCACCTAGTTATAGTATGATTTTTTCAGAAGTGGTAACATCACCTGTGAAGGCTGTGGTCTTGGAGGCACTGCAGGGGGATAGGCAACAGCTGCAGCTTGTTGCTGTCCTGTAAAAGAGGCATTGTGTTTGGCCAAGATTGTTACACTCTTCACATTATAGTGCTATCTAATTTTTTTACTTGTCAACATGAAGAAATCCTGCATTTCTGCCTACATATTAACCTGTCACAATGAGGACTGTAACTGGAAAGTCATCTCCTTTCAAATTTGCAAACAGACAAAACAAGGGATCAGAACATGAATCTTGTCTTTTGTTGCAGCTTGAAGTACAGACATGGTCACACTTTTCTGATCTTAGTGCTTTTTTTTTTTCCTTTTACCTACATTACTCCTAATATTTTCTCATACTTTGTGATCCTGAATTGAAAAGTACTGACAAGTCAGAAGCACAATAAAAACCCTCAAGCAAAGCATTAGAAATGACCTTTAATCACTTCCTCTCAAGTGAAATACTTAACACCTGTCTCTAATACAACTGAGACCAAAGAACTCCTCTTGAAAATTTAGTGGCAGGTGCAAGTCATTGCATGTGGCTGCACCACCAAAATGTAACTTCCTGACTTAGCTTCCCACATTCATCCAAAGGACTACAATGCCAGCATTCAGAATTTACTTCTACGTTAGCCATTTAAGCCAAATGGAGTACAAATTTTAATACAAACAGAAAAGGTGACAACATTTTCAGCTTTTTCATTCAGAAGCACTGTTTTAAAAACACACTAAATCTTTCTTCAGGGGTAAAAACCCCCTGTTTGCTTCAGGAATACAGGTGTTGAAAAACAATATACACTAGAAACACAGTATATCTACCTGGGGTAACTGAAAAGGATCTGTTCAGATCTAACGATGATGATCGAGAGTGGGAAGGATGAGGCCTTGGAGGAGGTGGCGGAGGTGCAGCGTTATCTGGAGATGTTCCTGAATGTGATCTGCAACATATACAAACTTTTGTAGTGATTTTAGGGAGATGCAACAGAAATAAAATTCAAAAGTTCTTCAAAGTATGTAATTAAAAAACCCTAAAGTTTGACAGATGGAAAAGAGTCTGATTGCTGTTGATTCTGAAGATTGCAACACCACTTTGAAACTTCAATATCCTTTCATTTCACACCTGTTTTTGTATTTCTATTTACTTAAATCTCCATTATCCAAATTATTCTTGCATTACCACAAGTAATTTATCTTTGGGAAAAGCAATATCTAGACACACATCCCAAACAATACACAGAGAATTCTAAATGTGGCAATTCCATTCAGGGGGCAGTCACTATAATTTGCAAAGTACGTAAGATGTAGTCAACACCCTGATTGGGTTTTAAATGGGTTAAATTCAACGTCATTGAAGAAGAATCTTCAAGTTTCTGTTGGACTTGCCTCTGTGTATAGTGAACTTAAGAAGTACCTCAGTGTGCAAGATAGCTGTTTAATTCTCTGGCTGAAATTTTCCAAATCTATATACTTGGGTAGCAGCTTCACAAATTTTAACTCATTTTTAGGTAGGATCACCATCTAGTGGATACCTGTTGTAAATTCATCGAGCACACATGCAGAAAGGATAGAAGGATGAAGTACCACACTCAGTACCATGTAAGTGGGATTTATTGTACACAGAATTTTTGTACAGCTTCCATTTAAGAAGTTTCCATTAAGAAACTTCTTAAGCAGTCTAATTTGAGCAAAACAGATTTACTGAATCACTGCAGTGAATATAACTACTCTTTTATTCAACTCATAAGTAAGCATTAAAATCTTTTCTACAACCGCCTTCTGTAACATTCTTCTATAACTATCATAACATATAAAACTAGAAGAGGCAAGAGGTACCCCCAAGTTTCACACAAAACCTTAAATTACTGAATGTCTAAGTTGAGACAGAAAATTGAGTTATTACAATAAAAACTGGCTTTCTTAGTATATTCTCCAGGACAAAAATGTTTCTGTAGCTCCGTGTAACCCTCCAGCTGACTAAATACAAATCTAATGATGCTGACTCCTAGGGTCATCCCTCTAGCTAGTGCAGTATAACAGGCAAAGTAGGATTAAAAAAAGGGAGAAAGTGGTTTAAGGACACTCCTGAAGTATTATTACCTGACAAAGCCTTGAAAGTTTTTGCTTTTTGAAAATACAAAAAGTACTCTAGACTAATGGTAGTGTTACGGACAGTGTAATCTCTGTAAACAAAGCTGAAATTGGTAGAAGAGGCATTAGTGGAAGGAAGTAAAAGAAGTGTGAAAAAAATTTCCTGGGCTGACACTGCCAGAAATGTGGAATCTGGACAGAAACTACCTATGCCATGAAACAGCGGTTCATCAGAAAGCCTCATTCATAGAATTATAGGATCACCATGGCTGGAAAGGACCTCCAGGATCATCAAGTCCAACCTTTCTCCCAACATTTCCCTAACCACTAGACTATAGCCTCAAGAGAACCAAACCCAAAATCAGACATGAAAAGAACATGTTGAAACCATTGTGTTGAAAATGCAAAAACATATACAAAAGCAGGACAATCAAATTTGCCATTAAGTGACAACAGAAGAAAGAAGTTTCCAAGCTGCCGTACTGAGAGGCAATTGCAATCTTTCTTTGATGCTGAAGTCACCCTCATTATTCTTGTTTTGAAACTTAACTCTGAAACTGATTTGTAAGGTGGTTAATGGCATAGCTGGTTTTTAATCCTATTCAGGCAGATTTAATGGGAACAGTTAGCACCAGCTAGTACAGCACATTCTGTTATGTCAAACGATGCAGTTGTTGGTTATGTGCTTGCATGGCTTGCTCTAGTCCCTTTGTTTTGGGTATATGACAGCCCTTCATTTTATAAAAGTCCACTATTAAAAGAGATTGAGTTACTGTCATGATATTTCTAATTTATGTTTTATTCTTCTTTTATGCTACAAAGTCAAGGTCCTTTTCCACTAATACCTAATGGATATTTTTAAAAATAAATCAGTTTCAAGTGACAGTGATCTCCTGGGCTTACATCCCCTTGTGTTTAAGGAGCAAGTCTTTACCAAGATTTCTGACTGAATGTGGGGTATCATTGGATTGGCCAATCCCAAACAACTTTTTAGACCACATATTTTTAAATTTTCACTTTACATATTAATAGGAACAGCATACATTGTCGATACATTAGAAAACACACTGCCTCCGGATTCCTGAGTGTTAAAGTTAAGAGTCTATTTAGCCACCATCACACATGCTAGTTGTCAAACAACCAGAAGCTCACAACAGGCTTATTTAAACACCTTTTACTGATTTTTTTTTCAGTTGCTACTGTACTGACCGTTGCCGTGTTACAGTGCTTCCAATTTGCTCCGGATCTGAAGTATAGGAGTCCGAACTGCTGTAACCGTCTGCTGGGGGAAGAAAGTACAAAGTTTCATATTTGGTTTGCATCACTAATATACCCTAACAGATACAGGTAATATCTTATTTCACTAGCCAATATTTATTTTGAGAAAAAGTTTGTCCTTGTATTGCTTCCCTGTAAGGTATCAACTGGGCAGGATTCAAGATTGCTGAATAACTGAAGGATCCAAATACAAACCAACTCCCCTCGCCCATCACTGAGTTGTTGGTTACTGCCTGGATGTACTGAAGAATAGACAATGACAATCATGTAGTACTTAAAAAGTAAAATTAAGTTTAATAAGCAATAGCTTTGAACACTTGACAGTCTATTATTTCAACAATCTAGCTAACAAGAGTAAGGGACATCCAAGGGGGGAGGAAAAAAAATGGGTAGGGCATGCTTAATTTTAGAAGTTCTGAAGCATTGCCACCAACCACTGAAGTCAGAAAACAGAAAAAAAAAATATATATGGTACACAGATGAACTCAGCAGCTTTCCCATTAGTGTAACTTCTGTACCTTCAAGGTTGGTATTCAGCTCTGTTTGGGACTAAATCTTTTCAAAGGCTTTCAGCTTTTGGTTAAGGGAGCCTATAGAAACAAAAGATGCTATTACAGCATCACACAGGTAGTTTCCTTAAGGACACCTTTACCCTTAAAAGCAACTGTTCAAAGCTTGAGGTTTTTTCCCTAGAAATGAGGATTCTCACCAAAATCAAAATTTGTGTGGAATGAAGACAGAAAAATGGATCTCAGAGTAAATTATCACAAGGGATGACTTCAGAGCACCCGTTACAGCACTATTGAAGGTGGAAAGTCACTGAGACATGAGTTTCACCTGATTAGTTACCAGCAAAGAAAATTCTAGTCAACGAGATAAAGAGTCTTTTGAATTACAGTCTCTAACAGTTATTTTAACCTCCTAGGACACTAAAGTTTTCAAAAGACACATCAGCCAGGATCCAGAGACAAGAATTCTGCAGAGATAACTTTCCCATTCAGCAAGAAGCATTCTGAAGTTGTTTGGGTTTTTTTGTCTCCTTAAGACTGCAGGAATACGAACCTAGTGAAGCCGGCTTGAGACCTTTCCCATGCACAGTCAGCTAAGGAACACCTTATTTCAAGCTCATTTCAGATTAGAAGTTACTTTGCAGGTCTACAGGTGTGTCTCTATTCAATGAGGGTTACAAAGAATTTAAAAATGCTACCTATATACACATTCTTTTTTTAAAAAAACAGGAACATCTATCATGAGATGACATTAAACTTTTCAAGGACCAAGTAAGAAAATTAAGTTTTAAGCAGAAGATAGTTATGTGGTAGAGAAAATCCTCTCTTCAATCCAAACATTATATATATATATATATATACACACACACACACATGTATACACACACATACATATACACACATAGTGGGTATATTCAGGGTGTAATATAACCTAGTAAAACAAGAATTAATGTAATCACACTTCTAAAGAGGAAAAAGTAAGTCCTTCTGGAGCAAAAGTTTTACATCATTTCAGTACAAAACTACTTTGTTTAGACTGATAATAGAAGTATTTTTAAACCAACTTCAAAGACATTTTGGACAGTAAACAATTTTAATGACTACATAAGGCAAATGTCATCTTCATCCTTCACAAATATGGGTAATTTAAACTCATGAGTTTGAACACAATCTTAAATCTAATAAAATCCTTTTTCAGTATTTCCAGTAACATAAACATGATAGTCATGTGAAGTTCCTATTACAAAGGATATAGAGAATTTCACAAGTGATTTTTGTCTTCAAGGGAGGTTTCTACTTTTCAATGTTAGTAACACAAGTTAGCCTCTAGCTTTGTTTCTATTTCATTATGAAGGAAGGTGATTAAGATTATCCCTCCCTTCTGATTGCAGTATTCATGATCTTGTTTACCTCATTTAGCAGGAGTTTAAAATACCTTCACAAAACTGTCCTTAATAGCACACCGAAGTAGCATGTTGCTTTGAAGTTAACACGGTTTTGGAAAACACCAGTTATTCTTGCTGCTTTTATTTTTAATTTCATAATAATATAGATCCATGAACAGCAGACAATGAGAAGTAAAATAATTAACCTGCATCTAAATTTTGATCAAAAACCCACTAAGTAATCAGTATTTTTCTGTACAATGCATAAAAAAAGCATGGAAACTTATGAACAAACTATTCTAGAAGAAAAACATTCTTAAGAAAATCCATTTATGAATCAACCCTTCCAAAACAGCAATATATAAAACACCCCAATAAAAAACACTTAGAAAATAACTTATTTAAGTAAGGTCGAGATTCCCTATTCTCAAATTAATTCTGGCATAGCTAAACAAAAACAAGTGACTAAGCAAACACTGAAAAATTAATCCAGTCCAAGAGCTCAAGCACACTGTAGACATTTTCCCTGATTTAGTACAGAAGACACACACATACATTACTGAAGTATGACACTAAAGAACATGAAGAAGCGTAATTATCAAGACAGCAAGTCTGCAAGAAAAAAATCTTGTTAGATTTATAGTGTTTTTTTTAAGCATCAGAGATTAATTTTCTAGAGTTAGCTTGTATTAAATTATTTCTTCAGGATTCATGTGAAATGTGTAAGTAACCCAAATTACTTACAATATTGACATTTCTACAGAAGAAGGATGGGTCTTCCATGATAACTGCAGTTTGAGGTACTACGGAGTGGCTTTATGTTACATGTCAGTAAGGTTTGGTCTTTTTCACTACATTCTTCCTCTAAAGGAAGAATACCTCTTGGTATAATTTCAGTTCCAGGCCCTTTACCAAAGATTAAGCTATACCAGGACAAGGAAAAGGGAGTACAGAAGGGCTCTCAGTAGTTTCCCCACTAAAAGACCACATTTGCTCATTCTTTTGCATTGTAAGGCTAGTAAAAACAGACTGGCTAAAAAGACTAGACCCAGTAAAAGCAGAACTCTGCTTGAAAAGAAAAAGACAGACAGGCTCACAACAACGCTCGGAACAAAGAGCACCACTGAAGCAGAGTTCATGAAGAAAGGAAAAGACAATGCAAAAAAGGCACTTCCTAAATTACTCCTGAATTACAAACCAACCAAAATACTTCTACCTTAATGCAATGGACTCAAAGCAATGAGGTCCTCAAACCTTATTTTTACTAATTTCCCAGTTTAAAGAAGGGGGAAAAAAAAAAAAAAATCTAAGACTCCAGAGATTCATTTGGGTTACACACAATCTGGGACCTGTCTTAACATTAGACAAGTGGACTGGTCAAATCAAAATAATGCAAAATATTTTGGACAGAGGAGATATATCAAAAAGGCTATTAGAAGCAAATAAGGAGTTGAAAAGTTGTACCTAAAAAAAGAAATCTAAAAGTCTATCACATTTTCTTAGTAGCTAAACCAGTTAAGAACGGCCTGAAAATTTAGGGGTCAACAGGTTTTCACTCTTCAGAAAACACTGTTACACGGCTCTGAAGAAGCAGAGCCAAGTGCCAGTCAATTCTGCTTTCTATATTTCAATTTCTCATCCCAAAGACTAAAAGGGAAAACAGGAAGATGGAAAAAGGCTGACAAAAATAAATTTTTTCAACACATATGGGAGAAACATCTCCAGTGACATCAGTAGAATTTCCTTAATTACTACTTCTAAATATATACCTTGTATCAGAAGTGCCTCTATTCTTAGGATAAGTTTATCTCATTTTAAAGCTTCTACTATCTAGGAAGTTTTCATTCACTGAAGAATATATCAAGTCTACATTTGTGTAATGTATAGTGTAAAAAAAAAAAAAAGTAATTTAATACTTACTAACTGTATTTCCAGATGTAAATTTTACAGATGAACTAATTTTATTTTCTTCTGGTAGATCAGGTGGTTTCACAAGTAGTGGGCTAGTAGGGTTAGCATGATCTAGATGGAAAAACAAGTCTGAGTAAATAAGTCTTCAAACGAGCCTTTACTTTTGATGCCAAAGCTTTACATTAATTATTTGATGTAAAATTAAAATGTGTTACTTCTATGTCTCAGTATTAGGAGTTGAAAATTCTTTACTTATTTACAAGGCTAAGGAAATTTTAAAAGAAATGTGTTGTGGATACTTTTTTATTCTTATACACTGAAGATTGTGAATCTATTACATGACTTCAGAAAATAATGGCATATTTGGTATCATCTATAAACTGAGACTCCACTGTTTCTCAATGAAAATTATCACACTACCTTGCTTATTATTGACCAGAGTATTAAAAACCAAAAAGGCCTGCCAACACTCTTAGCACATGCTGTCAGGTTTCAAAATAATAAACACAGTATTTCTGACCACAGTAGAAAAAGAATTCTCAGTGCAATTTATATTCTCCATCTTCACCGCCTTGTTATTTAATAAGGAATCCTAGACAATCCCCTGGAAGCCCAAATTAAATCTATATCATGATGGTCCTGAACTACTCCAAGCAATGATCTCATACAGATGGTGAAATCCTCGCTGTAGCAAACGGCCAATTAAAACTCTGCACCTGTTTGAACAGTACTCTAATTCTTAACTCAGAGAATCTCTTTAATTATGCTGGTTACTACTCAAGATAAATGCATCTAAGGAGAAGAACAAAAGGCACCATGGTTAGGGAAGCAAAACCAACTGTAACTGTACAAAACTCCTCTCATTAGCAAAAGAAAATATCCTACCACTTCCAGTTCTTTTAAGCTCCATTTCCTGCATATGGATTTTGCTTGGAGTCATTCTTATGGGAACTGGGTGCACAATTGCAGTGTCCTGTGGAGGAGATCAGAGTCAAGTATAGTTAATCTAACTTTAAATTGTTCTATTAAGTCTCAGCACCATGCAAAATGTCATTTTGAAACAAAATTTCCTCTTTTTTTTTTTCCATAGTTCCAGAATATACCCATAAAACCAAAGCTCTATAAGCTGAAGTTTCTCTAACAATTTTATAAGCTGCAGCCTAGCATACTATTTTAAATGGGCACCACAAACGTTTCTATATGTAACCACTTTCCACCATTTTTGGCATACCAGCTATCTGTTCCTTCAGATGCATCTAAAAAAAAAAAAAACAACAAAAAAAAAAACCAAAAAACCAAATCTCAATGCCCCCACCCCCACAAAACAGAAAACCAACCAACCAGAAGAAAGAAAAAAAAACCAACAAAACACCAAAAGCCACCATTTCAAAATCCCATTCCTCAGCTTTAGAGTACCTCAGAAAGTTACAGCCTCTTTAAATAGTGAGACTAATTCTCTACAAAATAGATACTTTGCAGTAGCTTAAGACAAGTTTCAGGAGTTATAAAAATAGTAAAAACTTCTGAACTTTAGGATAATAAATCTTATGGAATCTATCTCTACATACATGTTGACCTTACGCTTAGGCATTTTCTTTGTGGTTCAGGCAAGGGACTAAATTTTAATATACTTCATAGACAGCTCTTTCCATTTAATTTAGAGACCGAGTAAGATAGCTTAAAAAAAAAATCTCAAAACTTTTGTTTGTTCACAAGTAACCTAAAAATATGGACATAGCTGTCTGAGTCTTTTCTACTGTCATGTACATTTGGAACATATGAATGACAGCACAAAAAGAATTCCCAGATTATATTCTGTCCCTACAAATAACAAGAAGTTTCAGAACTACCCTTGTATCAGAAATTTAATGTTCTAACTACTCAAGTAGATCAATTTCACCAAGTATAATACAGTTACACAAGCATTTTCTAAAATTGTCAAAACTGACTTGCACTACTCTCATTGCAAACAAACTTTTAAAACCACTTCCTGGTCACAGCTCAAACACTCCTGTTGCACCAGGCTTTTAGGAATAGCTATAATTCAAAATGATATTGCTTTCACCCTTCCCTGTAATGGAATTATCATGCAAAGATTACTCTTGCTGTATTTACTTCAGTCCTCTGCTGTAATCTAATGTGCAGCTATGACAAAAATTATGTCTCAAATAGTTAAATGGATTTTTATGTCATGTACTATTTCAGATCTATTTTTACATTAAACAACTTAACATGTTACCAATTTTCACTTACAATAGCAAATTATGTTCCCATAACAAGAATGAAGGTACTGTTTTACTCTTGCCACTTATCTTTTACCTCCAAAGCAGTTACTTTTCCAAGAAAAAGAGAAAAGAACTGGTGTATTAATTTATTCTTTAGTTAGTTATTAACAACTGGTTGAGAAGGCTGATTGTCTTCCTTTGGGAAAGCAGGACTTGCTCAATAAATCAGTCCTATGCACCACCGTTGAGACAAGTGATAAATAAAATAACAAGTCTGCACAGTGCTACCAAAAATTTGCTGTCATTTGTTCTTATTTTCACATGAAAATAAAGACTCTGAAGTATGTACTCCCAAAGTCTCTTACTTTAGGCAAGCATCGAAGATGTTAATCATTCTCTAAAATTTTTCTTAGTTACAAGCATTGTAACAAAACAACTCAAGAACATTATCTCCCAGTATACTTTTTGTATTTGTTTAGTTTCTATTTATACATACACACACAAACACATATATGGAAAACTCATATGTCATCACTGTTTACTTTTTAGATTAACAATGTACGTATGCGAGAAAAATTTTCGAACTTTTGTTTTCTGCCATTTATTAATTATGGATAAAAATAAATTACTGTCTTATCATGGAAACAAGACAGTGATAGTTCTTTACTGTCAAGCAATTATACATAATAAGAAACAACTATGATCTGATTTCCATCACGTTTACTTTGTTAAAAAAATAAAAATACAGAGCATTTAAACCAAAAAAAAGTGTCTCAGATGGAAAAGACCTGGTTTTCACTTGAAGGATGACATTTTCATTTGTTTTGATTGTTTACCAAGGTCAATTCCAAGTACAGGGAACAGTGCAATTTGAATTCTAGTTTCCAGCATCTAGAAATGCTTGTCCCACATATATCAGTGTTAACTCAGAGCAGAGCAGTGATGTATTTAAAAGTATAGTTCTGTATTTTATCTTTTCAGAAGTGATCTGTTTAAAGCTAAAAGCAGTTAAATGTGTATTATATACACCTATTATATTTTGTTATATGATCAAATGGACACTAACGCTGTAATTAAAGTGAACACTAGCAGTGGTAATTAAATAGGTAAGAAAAGCAGGATGAAAGCAGCAGCTAAATACTGAAGTAATTTTAAGGCGTTTCAAAACTACTTCAATGTCACATGCTACGAAGTTTAAAACCAGCAGGACTTTTAACACTGTAGTGAATTTCTGGCTCCCAAACTGAGCAAGATATTGAACTGTGTAATCCTTCAGAGCACTCCTAACCCTGTAAAGCATTAAAAAAGTACAGGTTTAGCTGGAGAAACACTACAAGCCTTATTAATAAACTAGCTTGGTAAAAATGTTAGGAATATGAAATATCACACCTATTAAAGCCCAGAAGTTTTTTCAGTGAGGTTGTCATTGTTAGCACCTAAGAGTTTGTGCAAAATCAAGCTGTGTAACTTGAACACAAAACAACACTGAAAATAAAATCTAAACCAAGACTGGTTTATGACTGGGCTTAGCTCTTGCATTGAAAAAAATATTAAAAAACTCCATTATGTTTAAATACTTTATATAGTACAGGCAGTATAATAATTGACAGCAGTGTTGTATTAAATCAAAATCAAGGGAAAACTGCATTCTCTGCACTCGTACTAAACATGAGTAGTACTAGAAAATTTACATTCCTAAAGTAAGCAAAAAAATTAAGAAGCCTGCCACCATTCCCCAAAAAGCAGTCCATGGAATCATGCATAACAGGTAATTACAATGAATGGAAATTCAGTGTTAATAAAATTAATTTCAAACAAGCAAGCTAAGTGATTGACTTACAGGATCAGCTGGTGCAATGTTAGAATCAAATTGGGTCAGAGTTTGTGAGCTTGAAGAGCGTTCGCTAAATGTCTCCCACTGCTGAACAGACAGAGGAGAGAAGTCAGCACGATGAGAAAGATGGGAGTAAAAGATCAGATCTCTGAGGAGATTTAGCACAGTAGTTCAGAGGTTGCAATGGAAAGTACTACAACTGCATGGGACAGCACTTGACTTGGAAAGCACACTGATACTCATTAAGTATTTCTACTTCAGTCCAAGACTGTTGTGTGATCAGGTTTGTTGTCTGTCAATATTAATCTTTACATTCAATTTCACAGTGAAGAAGGTGCACAGCCAACACAGAAGTACCTTCAGAGTTTGTGTTTGTCAATGAAAACCACACAAATCAAAAAAAAGCTGGTTAAGCCATCCAAATACTGTAAAGAAAATCAGTGACACGTTGTGTGTATTCTTAACAGTAAAATCCACAGAAAGGTTCTGCAGCTTTGTAGCTGCCAAGTTTCAAATGTATTTGGTAAATGCTGATTTTCTTACAGAAACCCAGACAAAGGAGGACTGAGTAGAGTATTCCAACTACACCGGTTCAGCTTGCCAGTGCAACCCCTGAGAAGTGCTGTAAAAGAGCATTTTTACAAGTGAGCATTTTTACACTGACAAAGCAAAGAATTAAATTCAAACATACTGTTGATTGCTAAAAGAAAATATGTCAATCTCTGAACAATTTTATAAGATATAGGCATGCAGTATCAATACATGGTTGTCAAAAGTCCTCATGCTTAGTAAGTCAAGCTACTGCCATAACTGGATCAAAGTACCAAAGCACATAAAATTAGGCTCTGATCCAGAAACCAGATTACAAATCACAATAAGAATGCTAAACTTGTTATAGTTTTGGAAAATAAGAAGTAAATATTAACCAAGTTTCAAACACTACAACAGAAGCTACAAATACAAAATTTTTAGTGCTCATAAAGTTTGCCAAAATGATGTTAGTCTTGTTGTGAAAGCAAACCAATATTCTTGTCCCACCTCTATAGGTAAATCAATGTAAATGATTCCAGAAAATACAGGACAAACTACATGGTGTTAGTCAATCTAATCTCATGTGCTCCTCTACACTGAATTACATTCAAAGAATAGCCTGTATGTAAACCTAGTCTAAACCAGGCATTTCAGAAATATCTCTATATGGGAATTCCTAAATAACTCTTTTCAATCAGCTGAAATTAAATTCAGAAAAAGATTAACTAAATTTCTACTAAGTGCTTCCACACATGGACCTGCTCCTTGCGGAGACAGACTTATCTCCTCATTTCCAACTTCAAGGCAAAGATTATGGGATGTTGCTCATATAGGGTCTTGGGGGTTTGATTAGGTCCCCCTGCCCCAGTTTTGGTTTGGTTTTAACCACATAAAACTACTCCCCTTCATGGACAGAATCTAATCCTTTTTAAGTAAGGATGTAAAGTCCTAACTGCTCAGCCCTACTCCCTGTATTACACAGCTGACTTCCTTAATGAAGAGGCAACATTGTGAGTAGTTTGGAGCTATACAAACCTGTTGAGTGAGCCAGTTACTCCTAAGTCAGGAGCCTAATGGCCAAGTTCTGGCAGTCTTTCCCCTGACTTGGCCTCTTCCATTTACACAACTGCTCACTTTCATGAAACCTGCATTAATATCTACTTTACAACTACAATTACACTTTTTAACTTGATTTGGCCAGTGGCTTCAAAGTTACCAGTGAGACTGGCAAACAGACCATAGTATTACAGAGATTTTTTCATAACTTTTTCAACACTTCCATAAAGGCACATAGCATCTACATTATAGACAAGATCAATGCTAAAATATTATTTCTTAGAGATGGATGTGGAATTTTGTCTTACTCTGCCACTCTGAAGCCAAACTACAGGACATCAGCTACTTGCCCTTAGGCTCCTTAGCTGGGCACAGGCAAGTGAAAATCTATACCTCCTGACTGCTCTGGGGAACACACTGTTGTGCTCCAGCCTGAAACACTACCAGAAGCTAGTTACTACCAATCCCCTGGTTAAAAGAACGCTACACATACTAAGAAACTACTGGACTGCATCTCGAACTGTGCAAGATTTAAAAGCATTGATAATAAAACTGATTTGATAGGATAAAACTACTAAAATACTTATCTTCTAAGCTAGCAAGAATGTTTAAAAAATATTTTCAAAAGGGTAGCTACTCGAAACTAAACCTCACAGCAACGTGAATCATTACTAAAATAACACCAGGACATTTGAAACAAGGTGTGACAGTTATGAACTCAAAAACAAAACTGTATCTGTGTCAAAGCTAATATGGCCACATGACACTAGACCGTTTTCAACAAAAATTTAGTAGGCTTTTAAATTTTTTTTTAAGCTCTCAGAACAAAGTGCTCAGCTTTGAGACTGGATGGAAAAAGATGTCTGAAGTGAGGAAGAAGTGGTGAGTGAAGAGGTGAGAACGTGAAGCACGTAGTATCCATAGTTAGGTAGATTTTCATTTTTCTGAAGTTTGAAACAGGTGCCTTGGTCAATACCTGTGAGCTTACAGCGACTAAGCCCAGCAACTGGAATCTAAAAATCTACTGTGAGCTGGAAAGAACAGAGTAAACACCAGTTCTGAAACTAATTGCCTGGAAAGGTGGACGATCAAAAGACACAGCTTTTTTTCAAGCAATTAATTTGCTGATGACAGTTATAAGAGGTCCAAAGAGGAAACAACTAGACTGGTGCATGCAGTAATATCAGAATTTTTTTCATGGCATTATAAGCCTGGAGGACTTTGACCTGACTCATGCTGAAAAGAAAATGCCGAGGAGAAGAAATATGCACAGCAATATAGCCAAAAAAATCAGAAATTACTTTGTGTTAGAACAAAAAACTCTTACCGTTTAACGAATGTTCAATTCCTACTTTAGTATAGTTAGTATCTGGTAGCATATTTAGTGTGAGAACTTTTCCAAACCTCTTAAAGATTTAGATTTTCAGAAAATACCACGTTATCCACCTGAATGGACAAAGTCAGTTTTCTAAGACAAGATTTTGGCTGACAGTGACTAGGGCAATTACTCTATTCAATTGGTTTGAGTTGCATTGGACACTGAAGGAATCTGTTCAACTACAAGGCAGCTCACCAAAGAATTAGCTTATTAAGTCTTTATTGCAAACATGAGGGAACATATCAATGCAAATTTTGTCTGCAGCTGCAGACATGTACAGCTTTTTAGCAGCCAGTATCTGCTCATCTCCCTCTTAAAATATAGCCTCCTATGAGCAATATACGAGTCACTCCATCAAAAGGAATAACTAAGAATCACTAAATCATTTCCCACATTTTTTATTTGGCAAGGACACCACTGTGAGGCTAGTATTTGCCCTTAAGAGGAAGAGTAGAATGTACAAAGTCCTGCCTCCTGAGAGAGGAAGAAAACTTTCCTCTGCTCCTAACTTAAATCCCAAAATTTTGCTTATTTTCTGTTTTGTACTGACTCTCCTTTGGTTTTTCTATATCTTTCACCAACTATCTTCTACTCACTTGAAGTCTAATGAAGAAAGAATAAAGCCACGAAAAGCTTCATCAGTAAAAGAAGCCGGTAAGAATACTCATCTACTGACAGAACTATCTTAGATGTTAAAAGAAGTTTTAGGTTCTTAAGACTATAATTTGAAAGTTTTCAAAAAAGAATTTCAATACTTTCCCTTCCTCTCCCCTCCTTATTATGAAAAATAAGACTAAATAATTTTTGTAATATGTATGCAGTCAGGAACTCATGTGAGTCTCTGAAGAAAGCTCCTAGAATAAAACACTAGTTTATGCTAAGTCCAAGGAAAAAAAAAATGTTAGAACAACCAGAAAAACCCTCTAGGAACAATAGACATTTGAGGGGGCAGGAGGAGAAATATCTTGTTTTATAACTTCAGTTTCAAATTCTGACAAAATGCAGCTTTACTATATAAGACTGCTCATACAGCATGTATGTATGATAAATGATGATGAAGCAGCAGTACGTAAAAGTTTAATACATACATTTTCACAATGGTTGGCTTCACATTCAACTTTGAATCTTTGCTTCTAAAACAAATAAAGAACTATGACTTCTTTACCTTACTGGTGAGGTATCTTATGTTTCATGGTAAAATCACCTCCAAAACTAAGTGTCAATATCAAGATTCGTCAGAAATTTGTTCTGAAGTTTTGCAAAGGTGTTGGCTATAAAAGCTCTTCAGAGGTAACAACAACAAACAAAGAAAAAAAGCAAAAACATGCTCTAAATGAAAGAATCAGGAATACATCTAGCTTTTCCAATAAATGTTATGTGATAATTTTGTGATTAAAGCCTAATTACCATTAGTGACATTTTAAATATTAGTTCATCTCAAGATGAGACAGAAAAATGAGAAGGAAATCATTACCTGTTTTACAATTTAACACATGTAGTACCCTCCTGTGTCTACTGTCCCAGTAACTTTTTCACAATTCTTAATCAACAATCCACATATGATGAATTATGGATGTATACATGATTTAGTTATTGACTGGCAATGAAATAACTCTTAAATATAAATGCTAACCTCGCTGCTCTGATTCATCTCTGGCCAGGTCTGGTTTAGGGATGGCATTGATGGAGACTTGCTTGGAGGTGCTTCTGCTGGAGAGCCAGAGTAACCTACCTCACCAGTCTGTTCTCCAACTTCTGAAATGACAGGAATCACTATAAACCAAAAATCATTAATTGCATTCATTTCATTCTCAGAAGAGCGGCTCACATCTCATGGAAAAGCACAAAGTACCCTTTGGTTTCATCTTTTCCAAGTAAATACTTAGCAGCAGACAAAAAACACTCATTCAAGTCTAACATAATTTATCAGGTGAGACTCTTATTTTGAGGATCTTCCTGAAAATGGGGCTTTGAAGATTACACTGTACCATACAATCTCCCTGTACTTTGGCTTTTAAGTAGCATTTTTAGATTTTGATTACATATAGAAATAAATATATTTTTTTTTACATTATGAGAAAATAGTCACACTAATGTTACATCAAATCCAGCACTGAAGTTTATTTTACAGAATAAAATACTTCCTTATATGAAAGGTTAAAGCAAAACCACTATATTAACACAAACATAAACCAAACCCATGAAAATGGAGACTATGAAAACCATTCCCTTAGATGATTCCCCAATGAATATTCTACATTTTAAGCCACCTTACTAAAACAAGGGTGTTTCCATTTACTACATTTTGCAAATTGAACAAGTCTAGCAGCTGTCACATTGCAACTGTACAGTTACTGTTATTTCAATTTTCTCTGAGCTTTCAGTAAGTACAGTCCCTTACAGAAATACTCCTTCAGAGCTGTACAAATTTTCATGATGTACACATTTTTGTTCTATTCAAACTCCAAGAGAACTGGGTAAATCTGAACAGCAGATTCTGCATAACACAGTAAAATCCTTCTTACAGTGTCTTCTGTTTTGCTAGATGTCACAATACAAGCTAAAGCAATGCATGAAAAATATATAAAATGCCTCAAAAACCCAGAAGTTCAGATTACAACTTTATAACATAACTATAACTGTATAATGGGAACTGCTGAAAAAGTGACTGATAAGTAGCTAGACATATTAGCAAGTTGTTTGTAGTCCAAATTAAAACACTGAACAAGATAAAATACTGCATAAAAGGAAAGATGGTTTAACTAAATTACCATTTAAAAGAACTGCTTGATAGATATGCCATTGAAGATGACTGCCACAAGAATGTGTGATACACTGTACCAAAAACTGATTCAAATTCATAAAAAGGACTGGTTTCCTGAAGGCTGAACTCTTGTAGCATTTTCTTCAGCTGACAGCTCAATATTCTGTTTGCTGTCTTCCATTCAGAAGAAACTCATAACAAATCCAGTGTCAAACTGAACTGGAAACACTTGAATAGTCAATAGTGACCAACTGCACCTTTGAAAAATCAACACCACCCATTCTGGTCTCCAAAGTGCTGCTGGGGACAGCAAGAGGCACAGCCTAAAAAGAACAGACGAAATATTGAAGTCCAGAAAGAAAATAATTGTCCCATCTTGAGGCCAGGGGAGACTGAGGTGCTGACACAAAAAAAGCCACACACAGAAACCTGCAACTGGTCAAAATTTCAGAAGTCTTGCAAACTTCTTGTAAATAGCAGACATCAGACTGAGACTCAGTGTTCCCAAAACTGTGCCCAGCAGCCAGCATCTTGCACTACTGTCCTTCAGGGAAAATGGCTTTACAAATTATTGCAGATAGAAACTGCATCTAATACCCACTGCAGGCAAAAAGCATCTGGCAATTGAAAATAGGCTACATCAGACTGGTATTTACAGGCACAATGATGTCACCAAGTAGTCAAGATGACATGCTGTGATCATTGTACACAAAATAATATACTAAGTTCAAAATATGCCAGTGGTGATGTTTTGGGAATGCATACTGCATATCAACTGCTCTGCAGCAAAATATGAATTAAAATTTTCTGATGAGTTGAAAACCCACAAAATTCTTATTTCAACACTGGTGCACTAGACAGCTAAACTAACTACTAGCATTAAACACAAGGTCAAAAGATAATGCTGAAAACTGCTGTGGATAAACTATGCAGCTACCTGTAATTCAAGGAATTTTGCAAGTATCTACAAGAAACATGAGTAAATGTTTACACCCATGGTAAATTTCAGGGCTTAAAGTAATTAAGTTGTGTAAGACAAAGCATGGCAGATTTTTTCTTACAAGGAAATAGCATTGCTGCAGCAGCCCAAACCAAAAACATGCACAGAAAAGCAAAATTTGCTTTGAGCTTTTTAAGGGTTGGTGGCCTTCACCAACTGAGATAAAATTGAGTTTAAAGGAAAATATTCATATTTATTTATGTAACAGGAAGTGAGACTAGTACTCTTTTCAGCTGCAGATGATAAATGCTGCCAAGATAGATGCAGATGCTATCCACAGTATTCAATTAATAAAATCAGTGTATAGGCAATTAGAGGAGCACATGTACAACTGTCTGACTTCATGCTCCCATTCTCATTCACTGCATTTTTTTCTACAGGCTGTTCTTCAGCAGGGAGATCTTGTTCATTCTGAAGAGCTGACATTATCTATCTATAAGTACCACAGCATACTGTTAAATCTTAAGTGGAGCTGCTGCAGGCCAAATAATTCTTTGAAGTATATGATCCAATTCAAAGTACTAGACCCACTCAAATGTATTGTAAAATTACCACATTATTCTAAGAACTTAAAACACCTCATTTCTCTCTCTGGTCAGCAGAAGGATATTAGCACTTCATTTAATATTTTTTCTATTAACATTTTTTAGAGGCATAGTACTACGCCAGAAAAATTACCAATTCTATAAATGCTTTATTATACAATAGGTCTATGCCATGTGAGAGAAATACATTATCTCTGGTCATGAAATCAGAGGTAAGAGAAGACCAATATGTAATGGCTTTGGGACACCTGCAGTTGGTCACATAATAGACACAGGAGCTGAAGAGGGAGAGTCTGCGAGAGCAGACCACAAGAGTTCTTCCCTCCCTCGGTCTGAATGGAGACATAGGGGGCAGGGGCTGTTACCTCTCTTTCTGCTGGCCACTAGTTCCAAAGTCAAAATGGAAAGAAACAGCAAGTTTCAAGTGCAGAGCAGAAGCACTTGATCAGAGCACAGTGGAAGATCAAGAACAGAGTTTCTAACAAAAGGACAGAATTATTAACAGTATTGTTAACAGGCTTCAAATAAAGTTTCCCATGCTGCGCATTATTTTAAAGCCATTCAAGCAATTCACCTTCAACAATTTGAAAATACATTGTCAGCACCCTGACTTGTATCAGAAAGTGTGCTCATTAAAACTAGGGAAGTGATTGTACCTCTGTACTCAGCACTGGTAAGGCCGCACCTCAAATGCTGTGTTCAGTTTTGGGGTCCTCACGACAAGGAGGACATTGAGGGGCTGTAGTGTGTCCAGAGAAGGGCAATGAAGCTGGTGAGGGGTCTAGAGCAGAAGTCTTAGGAGAAGCAGCTGAGGGAACTGGGGGGGTTTAGCTTGGAGAAAAGGCAGCTCAAGGGAGACCTTATCACTCTCAACTGCCTGAAAGGAGGCTGTAGTGAGGTGGGGGGTCATCTTTTCTCCCAAGTAACAAGTGATAGGACAAAAGGAAGCAGCCTCAAGTTGTGCCAGGGGAAGTTTAGGTTGGACATTAGGAAAAATTTCACCAAAAGGGTTGTAAAGCATTGGAACAGTCTGCCCAGCAAAGGGGTGGTGTCACCATCCCTGGATGTATTTGTAAGACCATGTGTAGATGTGGTGCTGAGGGACATGGTTTAGTGGTGACCTGGCAGTGATGGCTTAATGGCTGGATTTGATCTTAAAAGTCTTTTCCAACCTGAAGAGTTCTATGATTCTACTCACACTGAGGCTTCAGTCAGTGGAAGATCACTAACAGTTTATTTCTTTGAGAAAACTGTATCCCGTGAAAAATGTGCACTCAAAGGCACTCTGAGTGTCATACTTTACAGCTTCTGTGTCTCAGGAGGCTGTTGGAAGCAAGCTTTTACTGAAATACAACTTTTATGGGAACTTAAAAGAAAAAAAAAAAACAACTATTACAGAAATTTGACTGGTTGATCTTTCTAGGCCTATTTACAGTCCTTATGTTGAACCCTTGTAATTTAATGTTCACAGTAGTCTGCACACAGACCTGCAAGTAACTTTTAATTTAGTAAAATAGTAAATGTATACTGAGATTTGGACTGTTGTAACTACAAGTAAAACCATAGGCAAATTTATAAATTCTACTAGAGTCTTTTATTCAGCATACAAATTTTGTTGATAAATCATGTGCTAGAAAAGATCAGCTATTTCCAAAACTGCCGTACTGGTGGCCCAAATTTAAAAATAAAGAAAAACCTGATTGGATAAAAGTCAGCAAATTTGCAAAAACTGTCATTTTTCATTGTAGAAATAAGAGCAGTGTCAAGTATCAGTCAGAACTTATTTTTTAGGCACAGCTTACACAGTATGGTAACCATTTAAAAATTAACTAGAACAGGGTAACTTCCCTCTAATATCATAGAGAAAACCACTTTTTTTTTTTCAAAAACTACTTTTAAACATAGTTTTTCCTCAGATTTAAAGACCACTTTATACCTCATGAAAATAAGTCTAAGTTTCATATTAACAAAGCTGCCTGTAAAATAAGAACAATAAACATACATGTAACATTTTTTGGTACAATGTCTAATTTATAACATTTTCAGACAACTTCAGTTAAATAATAAAAGCCTTGAAATCTACTACCAATGAGAGCAGAAGAACAGGTATAGCTATAGTTGTTTGGTTTAGTTTTAAAAAAAACCAAAAACAGTGGTTTATACAAAAATACTACTTAATTTTCTAGCAAGGTTTTTGCTTGGCCATCACTTTAATAAAAATAAACAGAATGGGTAGGTTTCAGACACTTGCTAGTTATTCACTCAATTAATTGCACATATTTCTTACGTTTCTCTCCATCACAGCAAAATGCTTACTCATACTGAAAACACTTCAGTTGTGGATAACCACTGTTGGAAAGGTTCTTTGAGGAGCCAAGCTACTCCCACAAAAAGCAGTTTAATTATTAAAGCAGAGGTAGCAAGAGCCACAGTATCTAGTTGAAGATCTCATCAATAATTGTCAGATTAAAGTCTTTGACATCCTACAAATACAGTATGAAAGGACCCTCTTTCAAGTACTTGGTAAAAAGAAATGAAATTCTAGGAAATCATAGTACTTGTGCACCCACAGTATAACCTAACTTGTCTTTGACAAGCAACGACTGCTTGTTAAAAAAAAAATATCCAAAGCTGTTCTCTAAAGCTGTTAAAATATTTTCCTCTATTTGTTCTAAAATTAAAAAATGAACATGGCCACAAACATCCTGGCTGTAAACACCGCTTTTACATGGAACAGTAGTCTGCTTCTCAGTTGTGGGACTGAATTTCTTGTACATATTATCAAGCAGAACTCATACATTCAACAGTTTATCTAGGAGCACCCAAAGGTAATGGACTGTACATAGCAAGACTACGTGCAATGGAGGATAAACCCTGCTGCCAAGTCAGAAGACAAATTTAAAAAAGAAAAAATAAATTGTGCTACTGAACCTGTACTTTTAAACTACACAGTCTTACCTCTAGCATTGAATCTGGGAATATTTTTCTAAATACTTTCAAGACTCAGAAACTCATGATGTATTTTCAGAAATGAGGGTTAAAAGAAAGCATATTCATCTGAAAGCAAGTTTGAAGTGTAGCTGTATTAAGAATCTGGAATACAATAGCCGATCATGAATAAAATCCATACCATGACAGCTTTGTTTTCCTTAACCTTTAAAGGACACAGGCAGTAATTCCAAATGTAATAGTCAATGCTCAGATTAGCTCTGAGCACTGGTTAAGATTTCTAAAAATTGCACATTACTTTATTTCATGCTGTCCAATGCATTATGCTCACACTTTTAGGTCTCACACTTCATTATGGCATTTGTGTTGAAGCATGTCTTACCTGTCGAGTCTTCCAAATCAATCAGTTTGGGCATTAAACTTTCAGGTAACTTTTCTGGCAAATCATACCCATTCTTCCTAGCAACCACCAGATGAAATGCAGCACAGAACTCGTCCAATGTCAGTGCACCATCTTTATCAAAATCTGACAGTTCCCTAAAAAGGAAAACTTAGTATAAATAAAATTTCTTAATGTTATTTCCAAAAAAACATACTTCTGTTGTGCTACTTGGAAGACCAAAGAATGAAGTTTATAGTTCATTTTACCTTATTAAACACTCCATAGTAGTGCTACATGCTACATTTCATTTAAAATGAGACTTGAACAAATATAGATAAGGATCTGATCACTTAAATTTAAATGCACGTTTCACAGTAAAAGCCTCAAATTAATTCTTACTTTGACATTTCTTTAAAAGGTCAAAATGCCTTGTAAACAGTGTCAGCCTAGACCCACTAAAGCCATATTGGCACAAATATAAGTAGGACTGAACATAGTAGAGTACTAGTGAAATTTCCCTTAACACCCTCTAGTAAGCAGATTATATGATGTCTGCGACATAGCTGTCACCTTTCTAAATAATCATCCCAAATAAAGACACATCACACTTACCAAATATGAGAAAGTTCAAGAATAGGTAGTTTTGACTTAGTGAAAAATTCTTTAGCTGCACATCCTGAAAAATTACAACAACCATTTTTAATATTTAAAGCAAGTCAAGTCATTAGAAGACTGTGTTATGGTGAGGGAGATGAGCTATTTAGCAAAGGTTTAGGGAAAAATGGCACTAATTACTAGGTTTAAGCAAAGAAAAAGGCAAATTAATTTCAAATCTTTCCTTGAATTATATACTCGAGTTTACTAGAACATTATCAGTAAAACGCAGAACTTTCTTCAAAACCATATGCAAACCTAAGCACACAAAGTCTTCGTAACAGAACTGCTGCACCCACAATTATATGTTTTAAAGAGTAACTTACCTGGTATAAATCCATTTAGATCAGGTTGAATGGTTTTAAACTGATTAACATAATACTGCCTTTGTTCATCAGTTATTTTCCAGGGGTCATCATAACTACTTGATTGCCTACGAATTTCATTTGTTGTTGTAGCTGATGCTACAGTTCGTACTGTTGTCTGGTCCTGAAATGAAATATTTTTCCTCAGTATTATCTACCTAAAATGCTTCTATGAATCCTCAACTTCTTGCCTTCAAAAAATAAAATATAGTTAAATCTCACAGTAGGTTAAAAGCTGCAGGAAACCATCAGCAGATAGCATCTACAGGATAATGATAGGGTATTTTTGCACACTGATACATATGGATAGGAATGACTGCAGGTATGTCAGCAGAAAAAAAAAAAAGTATGGCACATATGCAAATAAGCCAAACAAATGTTTTAAAGTCGTAATTGCTGACATTTTAAAAATTAGTAGCTTTTAGTTTATCATTCTAAATGAGGTCAACTCAATGAAACAAGTATCTGTTTGGTAAATAGCACTAAACAGACTAGAGCACAGACACACAGTAAACATCTGCAATGAAAATTATTTAAAAAAAAAAAAAAAAGGATTGCAACATCAATCTGGATGAAGCAAATTAAATACCAATAAAGTGTCACACCTGGACAGAAGCAGGATGCATGGCTAAAAGAGCACTGGTTGGTGGGGTATCTGCAAAACTGACCCAATTTTCTTGATGGGGTGGTGGTGAATGGCCAGACCATATGGGATCACTAGAAGTAGTAGATGAGCCTGAAAGCAGAAGAAACATTTCCTTTTCAAAAGACGACCTTGAAAACTGAGTAATAACTATGGATGTGGAATGCAGTCCAAAAAAACAGAAATCCTGAAACTTGCTCCAGTCAGGGAGATACACTTGTAGAATGGTGAAGAAAATGAAAACCAAATTGCACCAAGGTGACAAAGTTCACCTCCTGACAACTCAATTGTGACGATTTTTACATTAGGCCAGTTTAAATCTGTACTAAAAAGACAGAAGTGAGGAATGAGTTTACTGCAACATGTAAAATGAAAATCAGACTTTACCCATTTAATGAGTTTTGAATGAGTTAATACTCCACATATTCACTTAATTGAAATGAGTTAACACTTGTATGGACAAACAGCTTTTAAAAGTGGCATACGATATTAGCATGCAGCTCTATCATCACTATATTTTTTTTTTTTAAATTTTAGGCTTTAGTTTGTCATTCAAAGAACAAAGCCTTGAAAATTCCTCATAAGAATCAGGCTTTTTGGCACAGATAATTTTTTTTCCCCTTAAATTATTTCTATACTAATGTAACTCAGTTACTTAAAAACAAGCCAACCATAATAAAAGACATCCATATAGAGTGGTGACATCTGCTGTGTATTAACAATCTGGAACACAATAAAATTGAGATTCACCCAGTGCCTTGTTATAATCTACTTCTGAAGTACTGACGATGTTCAATATCTTAATCTTAAAATAACGATGAAGCAACTACAAAAAGATTTGACCACCCACTGCACTGTGTAGAAAACCCTCATTAATTCTCTTAAATTGTGGTTGCAAATTAAAAATTTAAGGAACTGAGACTGAAGGGGAAACAAACCATCTAGAAGATGTCTAGAAGAATCCAAGTACTCCAATCTATTCCTTGACTCCTAAAAGAAATGCTAAACTCCTTAAATCTAAACAGCAGTTGTGAAAAATTACATTACTATTCTTGCACAACTGTTTTCTCTTGAAATACATTAAATAAAATCATAGGTAGATAGGTATTTTTGCCTCATATGTAGAAGATTTCCCTTTAAAAGCCAGGTCAAATTCCAGTGAGTTTCTATAAGACCTCCACACAACCCATGAACAAGAAATGTGACATTAATGTAATAATTTTAATCCTGCCTCTAAAATCTAAACTGAAGCAATAAAACCCCAGAATTTACTGTCAAGATGCTGACTAAAAAATATTGCTATGAGAAGTCCATTTATATGAAGGTAATCTATTTATGAAGCTGACAAACAATTTTGGATTCTTGGAGACTGATGACACTACAGCACAATCTGCAGTAAACACAGTGGGGGAAATCAGAGAACTAGTGAGGCACACTGAGGGATAACATCTAAAGTGCCAGTAACCTTGTTAGTATATAGAATTGCTATTTAATATCTGATAGTATGCAGTTACTCATTCATTCCATAAATAACCTTTTTCCTAGGAGAAAGCAGTAAGAAAAATGCTTAGAAATGGCTCATCTTTGTTCTTCTACATATACCAGCCATGACTGTGCACAACGTGTTTAATCTTGCATTAGAGTAATAACCGAGATTTCCAGGAAGAGAAGGATTTTTGAAGGAGAAGACAACAAATATACAAATCTGAGAGGTTACCACCAAGGGAGTTTTGTGTACTTTTTGTTTGTTTGTGTTGTTTTGGTTTCGGTGTGCATGTGCTGTCATCTTTTTTAAGTTAGCTTTACTAGAATAAAGTGCCACTATTAAGTACTTCTTTTGTTCCCAAATTTATCCTCCACTTCTGGAAGCTCCTGATGTGGGCCGCAGGTTCTAGTGACTGTGCTGGTTTTGGCTGGGATAATTTTCTTCATAGTAGCTAGCACAGGGCTATTTTTTAGATTTGTGCTGGAAACAGTGTTGATATTTCAGGGATGTTGTGGCTGTAGCTGAGCAGTACTTACACAGAGTCAAGGCCCTTTCTGCTTCTCCTACCAGCCCACCAGCAAGCAGGTTCAGGGTGCACCAGAAGCTGGGAGGGGACACAGCTGGGACAAATGATCTCAACTGACCAGAGGGATATCTCCCATACCATATTACATCACACTCAGCATATAAAGCAGGGGGAAGAATTAGGAGGTGGGGGACATTCAGAGTGATGGCATCTGTGTTCCCGAGGAACCCTCACACATGATGGAGCCCGGCTTTCCCCGTGAGGGCTGAGCACCTGCCTGATGGTGGAAAGGGCTGAGGGAATAAATTCCCTGTTTTGCTTTGCTCGTGTGCAGCTTTCACTTTCCCTATTAAACTGCCTTTATCTCAGACAGTAAGTTTTCTCACTTTTACATGTCCAGTTCTCTCCCCCATTCCACCAAGGGGGAGTGAGTGAGAGGCTGTGTGGTGCTTAGCTTCTAGCTGGGGTTAAATCACGACAGAGACTTTATCCAAAATTGCTGAGGATAAAGGCAATGAGTTTGATAATGTTTTTTGCCTTGAGATTCTTCAGCAGCAGCTGGCCTAACTCTAAAACAGTAGAACAAAACATGTAGAAAAGCTCAGTCTCTCTCAGCCCTGGGCTAACAGACAAGCTATGATTCAGAAAAGACCTTCCAGCATCTCCTGTAGGTATGCCATGCTTAAATTTTACTTTTGATACAATGTCTCTGTCTTTCAGACACTGAAATTATTACCACAAACCTTACATATATGTTTACTCTGCCTTTACTTCTCCCAACAACTTGTCTTAGTACAGTTGAGTTTGTACCCTGCTCTAGCACAGCACTGCTTCCAAAGCAGTACTTCGGCAGCGAGGGAGATGCCAGCAGCACCAAACTGGCACATCTTCAGTGCACTTCACAAGTAGCACAAGAACTGTTTCTTTTCTCCCCTGTTGAAGTGATTCCCAACAAGAACACTCTCGCTTTACTGTTCCTGTACTCTGCACTGCATGTTTTAGGTCACAAGATGGGAAGCCTGGAGAAAGATTATTTTACTAGTAAGTGTGGACAACTTCATCTACCCAAATACTCATGCACTGCCACTAGCCAATAACTCAAGTCTCAATCATTACATCATCTATTTGACATTTGAATTAGAAACTGTCACCTCTCATCTTCTCAAACTAGGACCAGGAACCAGACTAGGAACAGATGGGTAGAAGAGAAAGTAGAGGTAGAAAGAAGAAAAAATGGATCATAGAGAAGACTCCGAACTATCAGTGTATTTTTATTTTATGATTTGTAACCCCATGAAAAAATAAACTTCACCAGTCTCTGTACATTTTCACTTAGAACAACATTAACAGCACTTTGAATGGAGAGTAGGCTTAAGACCACTTACCAGATTTGAACTAGCTGGTGAAGTCTAATGCACTATGTATAGTATAAAGTACTAATTAATTCCTGTGGCTGTGCTATATTCTTCTCTAGCTTGAGTATCTTACCAACATGCTGGTAATGTGTGGAAAATTATCTCATTTCCTGTGGGAGAAGAGCTACCCCCTCACTTATGCTACAAATATAAGAAATGGTTTGTCTAGATAGCATCTGAGTATCTTGTACTTTTCAGTAACTATACAAATGTGGGTTTACTCAGAGAACTATGTTGTCAACTAACTTTGTAAACTAGCAAGAGTTCTCCTTATCATCAATTTGTGATGAAGCAAACCAGAAGATGAGTACAATTTTGCCAATAATATAATTCAATAATATAATAGAGCTCTTCCCTCCGTGAATAATTCTGCCCAGGTAAGAACAATCCTTAACTTGTAGCAAGGCTAATTACCAAGTTATTGAAGCAGTAACTAGGAGATAAAGGACTATTCAGTCCCCTGCAAGCACAGTAAATATCTCGGTACTCTAACGAAGCAGGAGAACTGTTAGAACAGCAGACATCTTCCACTTCTGTCCATGAAGTTTTCTACTTCTTTGACTCAAAACCAGCAAAATCTCTCCCAATAAGGAAAAGAGAGAAGTGTGACTTAGTGCTGCAAGTTCTCATACATATTCAGACAGCAAACCAGAACTTTGATGTGATGCCAAAGAAAGCTAACAGAGGTCCTATGACTGAAGAGCAAGCCTCAGATTTTTTTACTACTTTGCAATCATTATTTGGATACTACCAACATAAATGGTCCTCTTTGCTTCCAGACCAGACACTACAAGGTAATAAAAAATACCTTTATTCTGACATGGCACTTTACAATTTGAAGTGGGGAAGGGGCTCTTTCTCCCAGGTTTGTTACTGTCAGCACCATTCCAGCAGCTAAAGCGGTTGTGCAAAATGAGCTGAAAAGGTGAAATGAAGTAATTTCTCTCTTGTAACTACAGGAACAGGATGCTCTCATCTCATATACAATTCTGTTTCATACAAGGGGTTCAGTCATCCACTGTATTATTCTATGAAGATTGAGCCAGCTAAGTGGTGCAAGCCAGAACTGGGACATAAGATTTTTGAGCAGCTTCATCTTAAAACTGCTAAATCAAATGTACCTGGAAGACTTCAGAAACTCAGGTTTTAACAGAATTTACTTTGACATCTAAGGATAAGACCTGAACCAGTTATAAACCTCATTCTACACAGGTCATCTGTGTCTGCCACTGAACTTTTAATTCTTGATAGTAAAGTACATGCACTCTTTGGAAACCTTTTTATAAAAAAGCTTGAAGAAAGATGGGAACAAGCCTTGGCTTCTGAATTCATATGTGTAAGCACACTGAGCTAGTCACAGCAGTGCCTCAGAGTCCAGCTACTTTTGAAGCATCACTAACACTAATCTAACTGAATTACTGGACAACACAGCGGCAAAAAATTTGTAAAATCCAAATTTTTTTCATCTGTTGAGATGATGTTTTCTTCCTCAAAAAACTAAGAACTACAGGTACAAGTTATGCTTAAGATTTCTGATACAAAACAAGGTGTAGAACTCCTAAAAACAACAATTGAGCCATTATCTAACAACTATACCACAGCCCAGTTCAATACAGAAAGCACTACTTAATTTTATTCATGGTGGGAGTATGACAATGCAATGGAGTATCTTTACTATGCATAAGTCATAATCTTCCTCTTTAAATATCTCTTTCTTCAAACAAAAAAAAAGTTTTGATTTTTGTCCTCCTGGTAAGGCAACATACTGCTTATTCTTAGGCCCACCAGACACATTTTCACACTTGAGGTTCCATGCTTTCAAGTTGACAACCCCAATACCCTCAAACAACATTTCACATAGCATGAAATACAAGCAGAGACCTGGGTTCTTATTTTTCTTGGATCACAAGTGAAATGTCATAGTGTTGCCTTAAATCTTACTGAAATAATACCACATACTTGGCAAATTATCTGATTTCTCAAGAACATCTTGCACTGGAATCAAGATGAGCCTGCAGTGCTGATTTTAAGAAAAGTAACCAACAGTCTATCTGGTTCCTCCTAAATGTCAGCAGAATGCAATTTTTCTACAAAATACTGTCCTTAAAAAGCAGGCTCAAGAGAGGGAAGAATAATGACAAACTGTCCACAACAAAAATTCATAGGAATAACTAATTGTCTGCAGTCCAAAAGAATCACTCACAGTGAATCAGGATGGCAACTTTTGTTAAACTAATACATGAAAATCCACTCTATTTCTAGCACTGGCAGAACAGACAATCCTTTTATAGCAGTATCTCCAAATTACTTTAAATACACTGTAAATGTGTTTCAGTATGGGGCAAAAAAGTGGTGAATATTGAGCTAGTTCAGAAATATTTATCCATTAGACATCACACAATAAACAAATATTAACATGGTATTCCAACTTTATTTTTAAAAGGACCATATTGAACTCTTGAACAGTAGGGATAGTCTGCAGACTTTCCTGGGGTCCTTGACTTCCTAAGTTAGAAAAACTTCACAAGTTAGAAGTGAGCTACCAAACAAACTTGTATTTCAGCCTGCAAGAAAAGCACATAAACAAAAATATGCAAGAAAAAAGTCAATAGATTGATTGTTGAAAGATCACAGTGCCTGGATTGAACCCTTAGAAGTAATTATAAATGCAATGAGCAAACTAATAATCTTTAATCTTTTTATCCTAAAATGACTGCCACTTACTAGCAAACAACATTCAAGCCACTGGCATAAGCTTCTGCATACAACCCATTTCACCTCTAAAGTAAGTTTATTTCCTTATCCAACCAATTCTAACAACAGAATCCCTGGTCCTCCATGGATGTTTATAACTGCAGAATGACAATAAATTTTAAAGTGATAGATCAATTTTGGAAAATCACAACTGAAATAAACCAACTGCAGTTCAGTCAGGAAATACAAGCTACAAAATGAAGGATATTTAGCAGTATCATAAAAAACAGAACCTGAATTAGAATTGCTCTGCAGTTCCCTAATTTATTAAGTCTGAGATATTAGAAAAGAAAACAGAACTTTTTGACACAGGAAATATTAAGGGGGAAAGCTTTTTAAATCTGAGCACAGCAATACAACAACAGGGAGTGTCTTCCTCTTAAATAAAGAACAATAAAGGGTGAAAATCTTTACTGAAACAAGTGGTTCTACCTTGACAGATTGGAGATACAGTAGCTTCGGTTAGGTTTACATAAACATTAAAGAAAGAAAAAAAATGTTAGGAGAATTAGTTGTTCTGACAATTCATCTAACCTACCAGAAACATAGTTCAAATAATACATTATCTGCTGCTTTCCCTTGAGCTCCCCATGATTTTGGTTATAACTGACAGTTTCTGCACAATTTCAATAGGATGTCAGTTTTGTATCAGAAAACTTTTCACTGGGAAACTTTCATACTCTTTCC